ACATCCTATCATACAAAGGATCCATATTATAGTACAAGGTAAAGTGAGAAAACTCACCTGAGTTAAACGACAAAACCTTAACAACATAACAGCTAACCCAAGCTACCTAATGCCAAACCGAGACCATTCCTTATCCAAATACTCGATTCTATCCAAGTTTAACCAAAAGTCAAACTGGTCAAAAGGTCAACGGTCAATAGCCACCGCACTGTGGTGAGCTCTCCGCCAGGCCATGGCCATGCCCAGACAAAACAGATGTGTTACAACACGCCACCATGTTGTGGACCTCCCTTGGCCACATCATGGTTTCGGTCAGAAAGTTTTCTCTTCATTAAGAGCTTAATCCTTACATATCAAGGCTCATAACTTTAGATCTGGTTCTCCTCAATGACTTAATGGATAAAGTTTCCAACTTTATCCAATAAGACATGACCACAACGCAAGATCTTAAACCCTAAGTCCATTAAGCACTCTAAGGGCTAGGATTTTGTGCATGGATTCAAGAAAACCCAAGCATGGCCCTTTTTCTTACTTAACAGAAGTCCAATAACCACAAAAGTTCCCTATCAAGCTCTGGAGTTCCTCAACTCCAAGAGCATACATAAAAGGGACCAAAACCATCCATAATGAGCATGAACTTAGATCTAGAAGAACAAAGATCAAGGTATGAACTTTATACCTCAAAATACTCAAAAATCTGAAGTATATGATGGATCTAAGCTAGCTCATTGCTTCTTGGCAGCCATATGGAGTCTTTTCTTCCTTAAGCTTCACAAAACCAAAAGAACATGCTTAAAACCGAGAAAACAAGCTCAAAACCATGAATGGAGGCTAGGGTTTGAGTTGGGAGGATGGAGGTTGAAGAAAATGACCTAACATTGGAGATGAAGCGTTCATCACGTCGTGGTGAATGCCTTAGCACGTCGTGGTGAGCATTCGGGCGTGTTCCTCGTTTAAGTGATGTGGCCACGCCATGGTAAACACTCTACCACGTCATGGCACAAGAGTTTTCCTAAACCTTATCTACGAAATCCTTGAGCCTTCAATTCAAATCGGGAAAACGGGTGTTACACTTAATGGTTGTTTGACTTAGTTCTACATAAAAGATGACTTAATGACTTAATGCTTGTTTGATTGGTTAATGACATATAAGTTAATGGTTGTTAATGGCTTAATGATTGTTTAATTGGTTCCTAGTGAATTAAAGACACAATAAAATAGAATAGCATATTAATTCCTAATGACTTAATGACATATAATGGAATAAAATAACAAATGACTTAATGACACAGTTGCATTGCATATATATCAAATGATACTACAATTTGGTTAAAAGTATCATGTGGTTAAAAATAGTTACAAATGTTGTGCAAGTACAAAAGGTGTGTCATTTCAAAAGGTGATCCCATGTGTTTGTCTACCCAAAAACATAAACAAAATGCACTATCATGTTGAAGTTATAGGCATAATCACAGGATCAATTCAACATAAACTTGATAAACTTTAAATAAAATAAAGAACACTTACTTGGAGAAGATGATATTCCCTTGATTTTTAGGATGAAGATTTCATGATTCTCTTTTACTTCCTGTAATGTTGTCTTATTGACCAATCTAATCGATGGATTACACATATAAGGTTATGGTGTTTATATATAGAGAAATTTATTAATATAAGAGATGAGCCAATTAATATTCACTCATAGGATCTCTTATAACTGTGTGTTTAGTTAATCAAATTTCACATTATGGGTAAGTTATAGAACCTCACTGATTTAGTCCCCTGAGTTATAGAGAAAATGGCATATTCATCATACTACATATGTTTAAGTCTGGGGACATGTCATGCCATTATGGAAAATATTACGGTACATAATATAATTGTACCAAACATAATAAAACATTACAAAATAATCAAATGGCCATATTAACGGGTTATTTTCCAACATATCACTCCAAGGTGTTTGATTCTCTTCACCTTTATTTGGGTCTAACTTCAACATCTATACTCTCCAACTTGATTTCTCACAAAGCTTGTTCAAAAATACATCCCCAGTTGTCTTGTCTAATGTTATAACCCTTTCATCATTTTTATGATCATATCAAAAAGGATCAGACAACTGTGAATCAACATATATAGTGCCTGCTTCATCTTCAGGTGATGATAGTTCCTCGTCAACCAAAGTCAAGTATGGGTTCATTTTGGTGGTCAACATTAACATTTATCTTATTTTCATTAGCATAATCATATTCAAGTAAGTGATTGTAATCAACATCATTGTCCAATCTCTTTGGGGCAGTAATACACATCCTTACAACTCTTTTTATTTAACTATTCAAGAAATCCAACAAACTTTGTAAAACCATCAAACTAAAATCCACATCCCTAACAGATGTTTTACGAGGCTCAAAATACACAAGAGGTTTAGGCACAAACATACCTTTGTAGTGAACACCAACGATCAGTAAGTTACTTGGAGATAAGGGTTAGCATTTGAACCAAACCGGACCGGCTCTTGGACCAGACCAGTTTGGCAGAAATTGGTGGACCTTGGACCAGACCAGACCGGTTGAGGCCGGTTCAGTTCTGGGCTTTCCGGTTCTTGTACATGTTGGACCGATACAACTTTAGATGCATATGGTACAACTCGTTGAAGCCTATCGAAAGTTAGTTTATCTATTATGATTGTAGGGGTGAGTATTTGGACCGAACCGGACCAGACCGACTCTTGGATCGGACTGGTTTTGCAGAAATTGGTGGACCTTGGACTGGATCTGTTGAGGTCAATCCAGGTTCGTTCTGGTCCAAAGGTCCAAATGTTCACCCCTACTTGGAGATGAATTCGAAGCCATAGTCTTTTTTATTCTTCGGTAACTCTTGACGATTACAACGGTCGATTGCATTAGAGGTTAAGATTTGGTGTGATTAAACTCTATCCACCGTAACAGGTAGGGGTTTGGGTGTAAATCAATTCTTTTCCACACAATGTGCCACGTAATACTTGTATAAGATTTGGGGAAATGAAACCGACAATACCGATTATTGTCGGTCATAAGGTTTTTTTTATCAAAATTCAAAAACTCACTAATAAATGGTGTTAAAAAATGATCAAATATAAACAAAAATGATAATGGATTATCCTTATAAGTTATTTTTACCAATTAAAATGCATAATTATATTGGGTTGCACCGTTGCACATAAAACACAATTCAAGCGCAAATTAGAAAAGACCACTTTTGAAAGGACATCATAAGATGGTGAATTAGGTATAAAGTAGTAAATGATAGGGATTAATATGTAAGCATTTAAATTAAACTCTTATCTTGTAATCCAAACAATTTAATATTATAAACCTAATCTTATGGGATAAATATTGGTTTTGAATTTAAAAAAAAATGTTTTATCCAATTTTGACGAGGCTTAAGAAATAGCCGGCTTCTTGATCTCACTTTGGCGTGACCTCCATCACAATTACCTAGACTACCAAGTGAAAAGGAAAAACATTAACCTCCATTTGCTTCCTTTTTGCTAGCGTAGAGAAAGAAATAATCGGCCATTTTTGTTTTGACTTGGTTGGCCGAGAAATAGAGAAGGATTTTTCTTGTCTCTCTTGTTTGTTGTTGCTAGCCAAGCATTAGGAAAACCACACTCAAGGGGAGCCGATTCTTGTTTGCTAAATGTTTAGGTGGGCTAACATCCACAACCTGTTTGGATTAAAGCTTTAGGGTGCAGACTGGTGTAGATGGACTCTCATTTGGATCCTAATCCATCTCCTAGTCTTTTAGAGATTAACTATTGTCCATGTATATTGTTATTAGTTGTTTGTGATCATCAATTCGATTTTGGGGATAGAATCCAACGATAACACAGTGTGTCACTAACTTATAACAACTTTTACATGCTATACAAACTATATCTTGCTAATTAACGTCAATGCTTTTAAATCTACACTTCGCTTGATTCATCTTTTATCCCGATTTCTATATACAGTTTAATCTTTTAAAAAATTATTATTTTTATCGTATTAACTTTCCACTAACCTTTATTTAATAAAAATATATTCTCATATGATTGTTACAAAAGTTTTCTTATAAATTAACTAATTTATCATTATTTTTCTCATATGTTATATGAAGTCTACTTACATAATTTGTTGTTTTTAATAAATGGTTGAAGTTTTTTTAATGGTTAAAATTATCTTTTAAAAAAATCTCCTAAATGGTAAAAAAACTATCAAAAAGTTTTCAAATGTTATGCTCTTACCTTGACCCATCATAGGGATTCCAATAATCATAGTATCTTTAGATACATATCACACATACACACACCCATATTTTTAAGCTACACATATATGTCAATTAGATGCAACATATATACTTCCAAAACATGAATGTCTTTCTCTTAAAGGTGGTGAGGACGATGATGGTGATCGAGAAGCCAACAACTAAGACACGACAGATTAAAGGAACAATGAATCGACATAAATGAAAGGTAAGTTGGAACTTTCATAATAGTAACAAACTTGCCCATAACTCCATAAAGACGATATTACAATCCCTTCTTCTTTTTTATTATATATATATATATATATATATATATATATATATATATATATATATATATATATATATATATATATATAGAGAGAGAGAGAGAGAGAGAGCTAGGTTCTGGTATTTAAAGTAATTATTATGTTATTGTATGAATAAATGTAGGTCAATCATTTCAAAAGGGTAAATATGTAATCTTACATTTAATTAATTATGGTAAATATATAAATCAATTAATATCCCTTTAATTTATGAATATCAGTCTTAAAACCCAATTTCTAGTATATATCCTCACGTCCGCCTCTTCCCTCTTCTCTTCTATTCATCGTCGCCCCCAACCTTTTCTCTCTCATCTCCCTCTCGTACACACTCCTCTGCCATCGACTCCGGCAGATTCAGGTAAAGGGTAAAGGGTGGCTTGGATTTGTAACCGGTCGGTAGTAAGAGGGATGATGGCTGATAGTCCAATCGTGGTACGTATTTCCACTTGCTGCTTTCTCATATACGGCAGTTCAAGCAAATATGAGCCTGTAATTGATGTGGATAGTTATAGTTGTTTGATTAATAATCACGATATATGTTAATTATGATTGGATATTTATGGTGTTAACAACACAGCTTGGATTTGGTGGTGTTTCGGTGGATCTTTTGGCGATTGTGGCTTCTTTCCCCAACCCCGACGACAAGATCAGAAGCACCAGCATGAAGGTAATAAATAATCTAGGTGATCCATTTCACCATTTGTTGCTTTAGAGTTTATATCGGTGTTGATAATGTTTGATAAAACAGCTCGTTAATCGATCAATTAAGTCAAGTTTTGTGACTTCGATTACTGGATCTACTATTTGGGGATTTGGAAATTGTGATATTAGTGATGCTTTTTACCTTTTGTATGTATGCAATTAGTAGCTTATTTTTTAGTGAAATCCACGGCTATTGCAGAATTTGCAGTACAAACTTATCCGTAATCACTAACATTCAACAGTCTATTTAATCTTATTACCAAATGTTTTCTTTGTAAACAAGGTGTAATATTTTTGTTGAATTGGAAATTTGTTCTGATTGTCTAATTTTTACAGGAAATTGAAAGTTGTTTTGATGCACACCAAGCGCGCGCTAAAATGCTTCAACTGAATGGTATTTCTTTGTTTATACTATTCTATCAGAAAAGAATGTTTTTTATGATAATCATGAACATATTCTGTTAAAATTACCCGAATTAATATAATTATTGGTAAATGAATTTCAATTCTATAATAATGGAATCACGAATTCCAATTATGTTGGAATGGAATATTGATATTTTCTCACTAATTTATTCATTGGATTTGTTTCCACAGAAGCTGATGCTTGAAAAACGGACCACAAAATTTGAACGACGCCTCTTAGCAACATTATTCTTTTAAAATGTATTAGTGTCTTTGTTAGATTTTGATGTTTTTTTTTCCAGATTTGAAAGTTTTTTTAGTTTTATTCTTTAACAATAAATGTAATTCTTAGCAATTGTTACATGTATTCTATAAGAATTAATTAATTTTTTTAAAAAATTTTCAATTGATGGTTCGAGAATTTTGTTATTCTACAAGAAATTTTTAAAGTAATGATCAAGAAATATGTTCAAGAATATTTTTATTATTTTATGGTTCAAGAATATTTTTATTTTTGAACATACTCAAACATATTCTGTCAGAATGTCCGAATTAAAAACCTTATAATTCATAAAATCGGATTTTTAAAATTAATAGAATCTATGATCCCTTATAATATGCAAATTTCCTTTATTAAATATGTATTAATTGACTAAAATACCCTTCTAGTTAAATTAGATGGTATTTTTCAATTATATTTAATTCAATAATATGTAATAAACACTTAATTAAAATAAGTAAAATGATTGGCCCACATTTATGCATATAATAACACAATAATTACTTTGAATATAATAACCTAAGCCTATATATAGATAGGTTCAGGTGTTTAAAGTAATTATTGTGTTATTGTATGCATAAATGTGGGCCAATCAAAATTTAAAAAATAAATAAATAATCAAACAAATAAATAAGGGTAATTTAGTAATTTGATAAATAATTTCTACAAATACACTCCTATAATTATGATAATTACTTTGACCTACCTTTATCCCTTTTCAAAACAATCAACAATACTGTATTTTATCCCATTCGATCCTCCCTAACCCTAGCTCCAAAACAGAATATCGCCAACACCGTCATTTCCAGGTTCGTTCCAAGGCCGTCGATTATACCTCAAACCCAAGAATAGGTTCGCCTGTGAATCACAGTCAATAAATGTTCATGGGTCAGAGTGCGAGCCTAGTTTCGTTCGTTCGCAGTTTGGCATCTACAAATCATCAATTTTGACTTTTCTTTTGACCTGCAAGAACAACTGCTCAATCATTCCGACCCAACCCAAATTAACCATTTGAAGTGCCCAGAATCCCAATCACGATTCCATTGCCCTGAACATCACACTTCCAAACACATGCTCGATTTCGATTACAGGTATGAATTACGATTTCGAGACCTTTTCAATTTCTTTTGACCTGCAAGAACAACTGCTCAATCATTCCGACCCAACCCAAATTAACCATTGTAACCATTCAATTATCCATCAAACTATTTTATCAATCTATATGTGTATATTCTTATTTGGAAATCTTGATCGATTGGTTGCATATTTTTGTGTAGGCGCGATTTGCTGGACATCTCCCAGACGTTAACGGAGGCGGCTAGTGCCATTGTCGATGTAAGTGTTGTTTTCCTCTTATCCTCCTTTCTAATTTTGCCTCGATTTTTGATGTTTCTTCTTCTATCCGTGCGAATTGACTCATTCGATCTACTAGATGTTTTATCATCTGAAAAACACTGTTACAATTGTGTCTAGTATGCTTTCTGCACTTTGAATTCGTTTTTTTCCTTCCCTAATGATGAGGATTCATGATTTTAGTTGTGTCTAACCAAATTCCATCTGCATGAGCAGGATTCTTTCACACGATGCTTCAAATTAAATCCTCCAGAGCCTTGGAACTGGAATATATATTTATTCCCTTTATGGTGTTTGGGAGTTGTAGTTAGATATGGAATTATTTTCCCTGTAAGGTAACTGTTTGTTGTATGTAACTCTACATAATGAGAAATTGAACATTTGGTTTCTTTGCTTATTTTTTGTGCATATCTCAGGGTTCTTGTTCTGGCATTAGGATAGATAATCTTCCTATCATGTTATATTCCTGTGCATTTGCTATTAAAAGGGCATGATAAGTTAAGAAAAAGGCTAGAGGTATACACTATAAATGCATTTTACTTCTTGGCATCTTTTTATATCTTTAAAAGACTTTATAAATCTGACCACTATTTTGACTATTTTGAAAGTGAAGGTAGTTTGTCACTATTTTCATATCAAATTTACTTCTTCTTATATGATAAAAATCAATTTGTTTATGTAGATGATTCAATGGATGATATTGGTGAGATTCCAATTCTATTGGAATGGAATCACGAATTCCAATTCTGTTGGTTTTGGTGCAATTCACAAGTCCACATATTTTTCCAAAGGAATTTAGTTTTTTATTTTTCATTTGCTAATGCATTATTGGAATCTAAACTACAATTTGGTTTTGTTTTCACAGAAGTTGATGCTTGAAGAACGGACCACAAAATTGAAAGTGATTCTAAGCAACATTATTCTTTTAGAATGTATTATTGTCGTTGTTAGATTTTGATGTTTTCTTTCCCGTTTTGAAAGTTTTTTTACTTTTATTCTTTAACAATAAATGTAATTCTTAACAATTGTTACCCGTATTCTATAAGAAATAATGTATTTTTTGTTTTTATTCTTCAATTGATTGTTCAAAAATTTGTTATTCTACAAAAAGTTTTTAAAGTCATGATCAAGAAATAGGTTCAAGAATATTTTTATTATTTATGGTTCAAGAATATTTTTATATTTGAATATACTCATAAACATATTCTGTCAGAATGTCCGAATTAAAAGAATTATAATTCGTAAAATCGGATTTTTAAAATTAATAGAATCTATGATCCCTTAAAATATGCAATTTTCCTTTATTTAATCTATATTAATTGACTAAAATACCCTTGTAATTAATTTAGATCATATTTTTCAATTATATTTAATTCAATAATATATATTAATCACTTTCTTAAAATAAGTAAAATTGATCGGCCCATATTTATGCATACAATAACACAATAATTACTTTGAATAGAATAACCTAAGCCTATATATATATATATATATATATATATATATATATATATATATATATATATATATATATATATATATATATATATATATATATATACTTTGAGGTCATTCATATCTGAATGTTAAAAAAATACATATTTGGTTTTATGTGAGAATCAAGTTGGTGTTTTTTTTTTTTTGAAAAATCTTTTCCTTCAGTTATTACTACATGTTTGATTTTTAGAAAGACAAAAAATATGAAAATATATATGCATCCTCCTATTTTTACAAAAGATGCAAAAAATAGCTTATAAAATTGGAAAACATTTCTAATCCTTTGCATTTAAAGTTTGTATCTTTTTCAAAAAAGAAATAGTTTTTTTCGATTTTTTTTCTCCGATTTGGTTTTTATTTTGTTTGTTTTTTCTATCTCGTTTATTTCGATTTTTTTATGTTTGTGTTTATTTTTTTAATTGTTTCTTGTTCTTAATTGATTTTATTTTGAACTTGAACATGGTTGTTATTAATTTGGGAATGTACTGGTTTTCGAAGATGAATAGATGATAGTAGTGGTGTGGATAAAAATGTTGGTGGTAAGGACTCCGGTATGATTGATGACATGATGATTTCATTTAATTTTTATTTTATTTATTTAATAAAAAAAACTATAGCTTGCATACATATTTTAGAAAAAAAGTCTTTCATTATGCCTAGACTTCTAGTCCACATCTTTTTCTACAAACCATTCATTTTGATTTTGCTTAAAACCACCCACCTATTCACTTCATGACTTAAATATCTAAATAAAATCCTTTTAATAAATAAAACATTCGATATTATATAACATAAGACTCCTAAAAATAGTATCGGTTTTATATGTACTTGAAAAAAGTTAGAAAGATTACTTTCCTTCTTGATGCTTATGAGCAACTTTAAAAACAGGATAATATCCATCAAGATCAAGGCGATCTAGTATCTCTCGAGTACCCCACAAATACGAAGAGTGGCCCTCTATCACTTCTGTAACATCAACCTGTAGCCACAAATTCAGAAATCATTGTTTTTATCAATTAAATCTTGTGAATAACGTGTAAAAAAGGGTATTAAAGATATTAAAAAAAAAAAAAAAAAAAAAAAAAAAAAAAAAAAAAAAAACTTACGTTCTCTATTCCGGGAACATCTACCGGTTGAATTCCAGCTAATCCTTGACTAAGGAGACTGTTTAATTAACATGGTCAACACTTGGAGATATATAAATAGACCAATAATACAAAATATTGTTCAAAGGTGTGTAAATTATTGAAAAATCAAATATTCTTCTATTTTTTTTTTCTCCTATTTAATAAAATTAATAATTTTTTATTATACTTGTTATCATCTAAAAATAATAGGCGGATGAATAAATAGAAAGAATAAGTAGGAGGCTATTTAAGTTCTCTAAATTATTAGATACATAAAATATAAAGTAACATGTGGTTTGATGCAAATGGTTTTTAGTGAACTTTTACATCTGATCTTATCAACTTGATGTGTGGGCACATGCATCATATCCTAATATAGATGGTGCCAGATACTTTGTTATATTTACTAATTATCATAAACAGGGATTTAGGTTTACCTTAGCTTAGATTTTTATTTCTTTATTTTCTTCTAAGTGGGTGTATTTCAATTTGAATTTTCCAAATCATTAAATGTTGAAATTGCAAGAATAAGTCTAACAAAATACAACATAAACAAGATGCATGAAAGCATGATGATTCCATATAATGCATACCTGGCACGAAAAGCTACTCCAAGCATCCAGTCAGTTGTTGAATAAGCATTTACTAATCTCCCAGAAACAACCTTTAAAACATATATTTTATTTTTAAGATTATTACCATGATTATTATAAGAGACTTTTTAAGCTATAAGAAAAGATGCTTGAATTCATTCACCTTCCTAATAGCTTCCCAATTTTCATCTTTAATAGCAACTGGTGCTCCAAGTAGAACAACTCTTTCCACAAGTCCAACTAAAAATTAAATCAGATATATGAATCTCTGCACCTTATATAATTTATTCTTCTTGTTGGTTTCCTTTTTAAAAATTTATTAGATATAGATTACATAAGATAATTTAATCTATGTTATTTATAACTAATTATAAAAAAAATATTGGATTTTTTATTTGGACTAATTTTTCAATTACAATAAAATAAGAATTAAGTTTAAAATATAATTAATTTCAGTAATATTTCATATTGGACTTATTTGTAATGTATAGATTAGATCATTTAATGGTGTAATTTATTTTATATTTTGTTATGTGTTTTTGATAAATTAAGTTAATATAGTAAATAGTGATTAGGACATAAAATATTAAAATATTCTTTAAAAAGGTTAGGAATATAATAATGGAAATTAAAAATAATAGAGTCAATTACATTTTTTGTCCCTGAGTATAACCATTTTTTGCAATTTTGGTCTATATTTGAGGTTTTGTAACATTTTGATCCTTATTCCAAGGAAAATGACTATATTTTTTGAACCAAATTTTCAAAAATCTGGTTTACTCAAGGACCAAAAGTAGTCATTTTACTTGGAACAAGTAAAATGTTACAAAAACCTCAAATGAAGACCTAAAATTGCAAGAAAAAACTCTTTGGGACCAAAATCAGATAACAGCTAAACACGGGGACCAAAAATATAAATTACTCAACATAATATAAAAAGAGTAAAGTAAAAAAAAAAAAAATTCAAAACAGGTTTATGTAATTACCATGACCCGTTTCAGCCAAACTCTGAAGACACTTAAAAATGGCCCGTGCTCCAAGTGAAAATCCCACTAGTGTCACAGGCCTGAAAGTTATAATTATAGAATAATTTATGATTTTTATATGTTTTACTTAAACTTTTTTAGTACATGAAAATATGAAATAATCTGATGTTAATGTACCTGTTACCTTGCAATCCGTTGACCAACACTTCAGCAAGCAGCTTTCCAGCCTTGTCAGATCTGAGGGAGGCGCAAAATTCAATATGACGATTCTCAAGGGACTATTTCTGTTAACATGTATAGTTGAGGAACTATTTTTTTTCTTTATATATAGTTTATTGGTATTTTATATATTTTGTATGTTCTCTACGATTTTTGGCTAATCAAAGTAAGAAGTCCAATTTTGGTGGGATTTTGAATTATAAAACATGTAGAGTTTGATTTTTTTTTTTTTTCGTTTAAAAAAGGAAAGAATGAAAAACCTGTCCACAGCAATGGACCATTTGCTATCGATGATGTCAGTTAGAGTGAGTAAAGTTGCAGGCAAGGCTAAAGCGGCTAAAAGAGAACTTAAAACTGTCATCATAGCACCTTGTTTCATTAATTCCATTGCAATTCCTGCATCATGGATTTAATTACAATAAGAGTATTGTTCAACTTTTTTTTTAATGATTTTTATGTATTTTTTGGGGTTAAAGTGATTATTACTTGATGTAAGCCAATCCTGGATTGCAGTGCTTACAGCAATCAGATGCTCGGATTCCCATTGTAACGCATACCTGAAAAATTGACTTAAAACTATCACCTGGTTTTGCAGATTTAAGTTTATTGTAGAAAAACCAGATTTGTTTTTCTAGCAAAAACGAAGCAAGGCAGATGTTTCAATTCTATGTAATTGTAACAATTTATCATATAGTGGATTTTTCTCTCTCCGACCTTTGGAGTTTTCGACGTATATTAATCTATTGAGAGGCTTGTTGGGAATCTTTGAGACCATTTTCCCAACAGTTATAAGGGAATCTTTGTATTCTATGTGATTGTAACAATTTATCATAGTGGATTTTTTTATCTCCAACTTTTGGAGTTTTCCACGTATATTATTTTTTAAGGAGGCTTGTTGGGAATCTTTGAGACCATTTTCCCAACAGTTATAGGGGAATCTTTGTATTCTATGTGATTGTAACAATTTATCATATAGTGGATTTTTCTCTCTCCGACCTTTAGAGTTTTCCATGTATATTAATCTATTGGGAGGCTCAGTTATAGGGGTATCTTAAATGTATACATTTGA